TCGTTCGCGCTCCAAAACCAGTCCTCCCGACTCACTTCGTCCGGCCACGTCCATCGACACCGGCGCCTAACAAATCACGCAAACCACGATATCGAATGAAGAACCATTTCACATCATTTTACCTCGTCGAAGTAATTTCGACTTCAGAAAAATGGGGTCAATGGAGGCACTTTTTGCGTTGAACCATTTCCAAGGTGTTTACAGGAAACTTCCACCTGCCCCGCTCGAATTCCACCCCAACAACAAGTGTTATGTTATGGTGTCAACAAGAGGAGTATTACTATCATCAGGTGAATGAGAACTGGGCACTGGAGAAGGTGATGTAGCCGTCGCTTGGGAAGTCTCCTCTTCAGGTTCTCCCTTCTCCTAAGCGAGGCTGCCCCTGCTTACCACCCCATTGCAATGCCTAAGTATCCCCCACTCGAAATAGGCTGGGATCGGTAAACAATCGCTTCGCCTCTTTTAAACGTCGTAGTCTGTGACAAAATCCAAAACAAAAAGCGATTGGTGCTATTTTCAACAAGGAAAACGATCTAAGGTCCTATATTGATGGACCATTTAAGGTGGTGACGTCAGATATTGGGAAGGAGATCAAAAATGTTGAAAAAGCGTGAAAAGTGGTTCGTGTTTACTTTGGTGTTTATTGTTGCCAAAAGAAGCCGGTTCAAAAATTACCCCTTTTGGAACTCATCAAACTCAGTTCTATCTTCATACTACCTCGGAATCGTTGCAGTTATAAAGGATAAAAAGGATAAAGCATTTGCCGTTGATCAATCCCTTTTTGGGATGCGGCACGCATTCTACTTCCATTTGTACATTCGTAGTGGCGTTTGAATGCGATGTGGCCTATACAATGACTTGCGGGGCCAGCCGATGTACAAGTCAGTGTTTTTATCCTCCCAGACAAGTCTGGTACCAATTAACCGACCCCGGAGGAAGGCTGGTCTGGCCCGGGCCACTTCACCGAGCGCCAGGGTTTGATCCCTGCGGGCCGCGTGTTGTGCGCGTGCGACTTGCCACTCACCAATGCCGCCTTCATGTCCCCCAAAATAATGTGGAATATGAGCCGAACTCGAAATAAATTCAAAATTTTGTTCCAAGTTAGGTTTGTCACTGACTAATTTTTGGCGATTCAGCTTCGCGCCTGTCAGATGCCTCGGTCAATGACGACAGCGACATGTTAATTTCACCCTGTAATTTGGCCACAATTTGGAGACACAAACATAAATTGCAAAAATTTGTCGCCACGAAGGACCGACCTTTAAACCATTTTTTCACCACTGTTTGACATTCCTAAAAGCGATCAGAACAAAAATGGAAAAAAATGGAAAAATCCATGATTTCGCGTTTCTAGCATGAGCGTCTACAGTATGTATGAAACCGCTTCGAAAAAAACGCTCCATGTCTTGAAATACCACCCCCTTGAGAGCCATTTTCCCCGTTTAATAAGGAAGCCACGCACCTGGGATAAATAGAGAAAACGAGAAAGCTTTAAACGAAAAAACCCGACGAAAAATTTTACGGTCAAAAAGAAGCAGAGAAAAGGAGCAGAACGGTGTCCTCAAAGTAAGGACACATCGTTTATAAAGGGGATGGGAAGAGGAGGATTATGGCACGGTGTAGGAAAGCGGGAGGATCAATGGCATCCGAGAGACCTCAGCCGATGGTTGATTGGTCTTGACCTTTGTCGAACCTTTGTCACTTCTACAAACACACGGCCAGGCCAGCTCTCTGCCGCTTTCCGCCGTACCTGCTCTGGCGTCACTGTCCCCAGCGCGAACCCCGTTTACAGCGTGCGCAGATGCACGAGGCACACTCAAGAACATCACGTGAAGGAGCTGAAAGAAATTGGCTCTCTCTAAGAGTGCAACCAGTGCAAGCAGTCTTCAAAGAGGAGAGCTAATGGGGGAAGCCGTGGAATAGCGCGAGGTGATAGAAGAAGTGTGCGCGGACGCGATTTACTATGAATACTAATTCTCTAGCAATTATGTAGATGAATCACGAAGGCATCGTTGAGAAGCGCTACTCGGGTCTATTTAGAAGTGAAAAGGACGAGGAAGGCGAGGGACAGAGGCAAGATATGGCGTATGTCGAGCGAGTGACTGACTCACCAGACCCTCTTCTACGAAGAACCGGTCGTGGTGAGACGACGTAGGCACGTCGAGAAGTTAAAGTGGACCGACCGATCGTTCCGACTCTCTAACTGAATCGATCGCATTTCTTTTCTCTCGACTCGAGGCTCCACCGTCGTCGTCTGCACGGTAAATAGTAAGAGATCGCTTAGGCACACACGGTGGCTGCTTACCTACCACCGCTGGGAGCTGAGCACCAGGTCTCGGCTGAGAGAGTTTGAGACCCTATGGCCGGCCGGCCGGCGTTTAGTGGGTGGGGGACGGCCAGTCGAGTCGAGAGGCGTTTGTTTGTTGCTGGCGACTGGAGAATTTCTTTGACGCGTTCAAAAAGCCGGAAAATCCAGTCCACAACAAAAACATTACACTGGGTAGAGGCCACGATGCTCTGTGCTTACGGTTTACACAGGCTTTTGAGCCCCGAAAGTGCAGCGCACGCCACAGGTGACGGCCCCATGGACCGAATATGAGGGCCATCTAGGGAAAGAGACCAAAAATAAGGAGGTTCGGAGAGAAATCGGGCAAAGGAAAGGGATATGGGAGACATGTGGAGGGAATAACTGGAATGCAGCAGCAAAATGAGATGCACTAAGCAAGCAGAAGAAAGTAAGACGAGGCAGCAGATTTGAGTGATGAGAAAGGCATAGGCCGGCTCTCGTTATTAATTTTTCAGAGCTTAGCACCGAGACGATGGAAATTAGCTGAAAAACACCACACTTCAGCGAATAGCCAATGTCGATCCGTCGCTAGCAGTCGTCGCAATGAGCCTTGACAGCATCGAAAAAAATTAACTTAGGAATACGAATACGAGTGACTAGTCCGGTTTTTTGGCCACCTATTGCTTTCATGAGAAGCATGAGATTCGCGCTATCACAAAATACGGGGCATCGTGGTGACAGCGCCTTTGAAACTGCGCGAAACATGTCCTTTTGTTAAAAAAGGGAGTGA